GGTTTACTCGATTTCAGGTGGCAGAATATACTATTCAAGGCTCTAGGTCAGATCCAAATGGCTTTACTCGAGATCTAGGGTATAGGTCGGCCCCAAATGGCATTACGTGTCTGTTTGGGCCATTATATATTCTTACCCAAACTCCTCTAGGGGTTTCACTGAAAGATAAACTCCAGTAAAAATATTAAAAATTTCTATCGCACGATAGAATATGTGCAGGCATCAAGCAATTCGCTTAACCCAAAAAAAAATTATCTCTAGCAATTGTCAATTGCTTAAAAGTTTTTTTTTTTGTCATATGTATTATCCAACAACACATAATTGTGTCTTAATATGAACAAAAGCTTCTTTTCAATGAAAACAAGGAATTCAGGTTGTTGCTAGGTTCATAAAGTCATAAGACTTTAAATTCACCTTTAATTTATAGTGTAACTTGATTTAATTACATTTTTTTCTAAAAAATATTGAACAAGTCTTACATAAATCAAACAGAAAAATCTAAAACCAAATGAAATGAAATATCAAATTCCTTTTAATCAGATATAGTTTAAAGCAATATTGATTTTCTAGCAAAATTCATCTCCACTTCGATCAAATTCATTTTTATAATCACAAATATTTGCAACAAGCGGAGACTTTCAACGGTCGGCCGTGTTTGCCGTGGCTTCACGTTATGGACGTAGGTTCATCTCACCCAACCAAGTTCCGTTAGCGTATGGAGGATTGAGAGAATATCTTGGAGACATCTCCTCAAATGATGAATGCGTCCATGTGACAGTCAAAGCCAAGAAAAAACACATTTTTTAGATCCTATGCAAGGGGGTTAGTTACACTTATTCCAGAAACGAAGAACAATAAAATGTCTTAGTCTTTGGGTTATAATGCATATGTGTTTTTGTTTATGAAGAAACGTGAGATCGTGTTGAAGATGAGAGTATTTGCACAACATCAGTTAATGTACAAGGCTGATTTTGTGCTGATCGTTGATGTAGTGAAGGTTCTACATCCACGGATGAAGATCAAAGGCGATGGACAAGTGATAAGCCAGAGTTTCATAGTGAACAGGCCTGGCACGGTTTTACTCACCTTTGACAACTCCACCAAGAAGAAGGCGCTGCTTGTTTACAAATGCTGTAGGAAGACTGTTCAAATTTAAAACCAAATGAAAACCTCCTCTTCTTTTTTTTATTTGTGGTTTATGTATATTTTAGTTTTTATGTAAACAAATGAGATCAAGTTAACACAGATCATGCGATTTAGAGCATCTCCATCAGTTAAGTATCTTACATGAGTTTCTATGATATATAATACTAATATTTTAACATAATTAAATTTTAACATTTTAAAAAATGGACAAATTAGAAACAGACAAGTGTTATGAGAGTTTCTTATGAGTTTTTGCTGAAGAGATCCATCACACTCTCTCCTATTTTTTTCTATTTTCTTTTTAGTTTCTATTTATTTTTTACTTAAAAAATGTGTTTCTACTGATGGAGATGCTCTTACGGCACTGAAATGTCGAAATCCAAATTCAAACCCAATTACACACCCCTAAGTTACCTTAACGACTAGGCATGGACTCAGGTTTCCTTCATCTCTTTTTTTTTCTTTCGTTGTCTATGATGTTATTAGAAAATTTTATGCTTCCTTTTTTTTTTTGGGTATAATGGGGCTGCAACTGATAATTGGGCTAATTTGTTCAATAACCAAAAATCAATAATAATTAGAAAACTAATCAAAATTAACCCATATGGTCTAACCATCCATTTAGGTTAATTGGTTAGATTTTGAATTATAGTTGTTTTGTTTATTCAACCCAATTTGGCATGATAATTCCATGGACAAAAAAAAATACACACGATATTGGGCCTGGGCCTAGAAGAAAGCCCATATTCTAGCTCAAAACTCTGCAAAA